AGATCCGGACAGAATTCTGATTTTAATTGTCCAGACTATTTGTCCCCTTGCAACTATCAGGCAAATAGCTCAAAAAAACATTTGCCAGCAGCCACATATTAAACCTCCCTGTACTTAGAAGGAGGTCATAACTCTGTATGCCCCCACTAATGAAAGTGGTTGGAAAGATAAATAAATCTAATACCTATAAAAAAGTCTTATAATAAAAAAAGAATAATACATGAGACAACTATACTTAGTAATAAAAAAAAAAGACCTGAATCACATAAATAAATACATTTTAAAATTAAAAATCTGAAACAAAATTAATCCAAGTTGGCCCAATGAAGGCTTTATGAAGGCCTTTTACACGCTTTAAATTGTGAGTCAAAGCACATTAATAGGTTGGCTTGGAAAGATGGCAACTTTGCAAAAATATGTGAAAAATATATTATCTAGTTTGCAAGGTGAAGCAAATTATATGATGGGCTTGTAATATAGACAATGTGTAACAAATATGCCTAGGTCACCTATTTGCAGAAATCAATTCCAGCTATTTTACCAATCATAAAATTAGGTCTTAATTTGTTCATAGATATTTCTGAACTACTTCTGATAGTGGCTTTCCTTCCCACCAGGGAATTATTTAATTAAATTATATCTTATTACTTTTTTTTAGTCACAGCTACAGCATTGGTGGTAAGCTGGACTACATTGCAAAGGGCATTGTAGCAGATGCCAAAGATCACTTTGAGACATTCTTTGTGATGCAGTAAAAGCTAAAGGGTTGCAGAGTTTCCCCTATTTCTTCACTGGAAGATGCAACAAAAGATCTCTGGTAAACCTTAATCAATCCAGTAGAGGAGACAGTAGAATGCAAGGATAGATAAATCTTTCTGCAAAATGCTTGGATCTTCTAAAAAGGAATCACAAATGCTTATTAACTCATTAAGGATCGCGGACGTATCTAGTACGTCCGCGGTATTCCTTAGTACTTACCCGATCGCCGCCGTTTCTCCGCCAGCGATCAGTGTTGCTCCCTGTCTGGGGGGACTGCCTGACAGCCCAAACAAATTAGGCCCCCGCAGGCCATGTGATCGCTCTTAAAGAGCGGTCACATGGCCGCAATAGGCGTCTATAGTGCTGCCTGCAGAGGGACTGCCTGAACTGACAGGCAGTCTCCCTGCATCTGTAAAATAAAGAAAATATATATTAGTGAATATAAAATAATAATAATAAATATATATATATATATATATATATATATATATGTCATACTAAGTGTATTTTTATGTTAATATATACAGATATAAAAATACACTTATAATTAAATTACATACTTATAATATATATATAATAACTATATATAGTGTGTGTGTGTATGTATATACTCTATGTATATATAAATAAATAATACAAAATATATATATATGCACAATTACATGTATACATATTACATGTATATGTATATATATTTAAATTCTACTTGCATATTTATGTAATATTTTTACATAATTAAGTAATTTTATTGATTGCAATTTGAGGGACCTGCTTGACAACCCATGCCGACAGTCCAGATAATTTAATTTGCTAGCATTGTATTTAATCCTGTAACTTTCCATGACACCCTAAAACCTCTACATGGGGGTGTGGCAGAAATGCCTCTGCCACGTGTTCCTGGAGGGGCCTGCCGAAAGACTATGGGCCCTTTAAAAAAAATACACCTGGTTTGTGGGATTTTATTTTTCACACACAAACCGCACTTTCACTGCTGATATAATTGTTGTGATACATTTTATTGTTTTGAAACACTAATATTTGTGTTCAGCGAAGTCTCCCGAGTATAACAGTACCCGCCATGTATAAGTTTTATAGCGGTTTTGAAAGTTACAGGGTCAGATATAAGGCTTGATTTTCCATTTTTTTCACATTGAAATTTGCCAGATTGGTTATGTTGCTTTTGAGACCGTATGGTAGCCCAGTAATGAGATTTACCTGCATGATGGCATAACATTTGCAAAAGGAGACAACCCAAGGTATTGCAAATGGGGTATGTTCAGTCTTTTTTAGTAGCCACTTAGTCACAAACACTGGCCAAAGTTAGCGTTCATAATTGTTTTTGGCATTTTTAACACAAACAAATATAAATGTTAACTTTGGCCAGTGTTTGTGACTAAGTGGCTACTAAAAAAGACTGGACATACAACATATTGAATAGCCTGGGTTGTCTACTTGAAATATATATATGTGAGGTGTGATTCAGATATTTATGACAGATAAGTGTTACAATGTCACTATTGATAAATTTTAAAAATATATATTTTTAAGCAGCCATTTCCTACTTGTACTTATAGCCCTATAACTTGCAAAAAAAAGCTAAGAACATGTTAACATTGGGTATTTCTAAACTCAAAATTTATAAACTATTTAGCACAAGTGTTTTTTGGCGGTTGTAGATGCGTAAGATTTTGGGGGTCAAAGTTAGAAATAGTGTGTTTTTTTTCTTTCCATTTTCATCATATTCTATACTTTTTATGGTAAATTATAGGATATGATGTAAATAATGGCATCTGTAGAAAGACCATTTAATGGCAAGAAAAACAGTATATAATATGTGTGGATACAGTAAACAAGTAAGAGGAAAATTACAGCTAAACACAAACACCTCAGAAATGTAAAAAGGGTAAGAAAATTGAAAAACAATGTCGGTAAACAAGGGGTTAAAAAAGCAAAAAGAAATTGACTTGCACAGTGCATGATTCTACTCACTACAAGTTTGGAATTGTTACTGCATTCTGTTACTGTACTTTGTGAAATGGTTATAAATCTGACCAGTGTATATTTATTTGTATCTGACAAATTGCATTCATGACATCCCACTTCTCTTCCCTTTATAGTGCCAAGGGGCTGGCCTCTGAAATATATTATCAAAGTATAACATTAATCCAAAAATGTCAAGCTGGAGGTAGATAATCATGAGGAAAGAAGAACTGTTAAAGATGCCAAATTAGAAAAACAGCCTTATTTGGTATCCATGAAATGGTTAAATAACGGGTAAGAATTGCATAATACGATTTTGTATCAAATAAATAAGAGCGTCTTCAAAGAGTTCACGTATGTTGTAATAAACATTTATGTGAACCTTCTAGAGTTGATCGAAAGGGGTTGTAAACTGACTTTCAAAGCTCTACTACGGGACAATTCAAGACAGAAAAAAAAGGTACTAGCAATATAAATTGAGATATTGAACAAATAAGCTCCAATGTTTAGGTGATGAACCACCACCTATAAGACACTAAAGTGTACAGTGCAGCGCTAGATAAAATTCACATGCAGTAAAGTAAAAGGATAAAGAAGAGGAGAGGGAGGGAGAAGGGGAAAGAAAGGAGAGAGGAAAAAATATTTTGTGAATATGTATATTAGTTATTACTGTAATTTACTGTATATAATTTAAGATACATGAACTATATAAGATAGGTTATATCTTGGAATTTAGGCATATATAAAGTGATGAACTATATGCTATCGATGATATGTACAGAGACAAGTGACCTTGTTTGGTTGTTTTTCCTTCCCTTTTTTTTCTTTCTGTATCCCTTATTATTTGAAAAAGATAAAATAAAAAAGTAAATTGAAAAAAAAAAAAATTCACATGCAGGTGGATGTATGCTTACCCATATATCTGAACCTGAAGAAATGATTTACCACATATAAAAGGAAAAAAAGAACAAAATGCAATAGTGCAGTATTGCTAAAATAAATTTGAATACAATTGAGGGTATAAAGAACAGGGGGGGCTCTAAACCCAAACATGAGGCCTCCACTAACACCATTAGTGAAAAAAAATAGGGTTGCCTTGTGTGTGTATAAGGAGCTGTAGATATTTTGAAGGGCGGGCTTGCAGCATTGGATACAGAGAGCTAGTTTCTGTATTCATCTTCAGAGGCTTGCATTGTCGCAGCTCCCTAGTGAGCTCTCGGACTTTAGTTATGGCATAATTTTCAATAAAAAAATTTAATTTGCAATTATGCTATCATTTCAACACGATTGTGGGGTATGGTTGTGTAGCCTGGCAGTCGTATATACATAAGTGCCAGTGTGAAGGGGTTATTTGAAACGAAAATTTTAATTTTGGTTGGGCCTTTAAAAAATTACTTACCAAAAAATTGTTACAGATAAGAAAACAATGTCATGGACATTTTCCCCACATATTCTATATTCCTTTACATGCATATTATTATATGTGTTTTCCCATGTATTGTATATGTATGTATGTATGCATATAATATATATGTTGCTTGCAACTTTACCTTTGCACTGCCCATACCATACCACCCTCACACTGCAGATACACACACACACACACACTAATACACAAATACATACACACACAAACACACTGATGCACAGAGACATAAATATTGACTAATGCAGACATATAGTCACAATGTGTTTTTATCTGGCTGCATGTATTTGCATATGTATTGCGTGTGTTTGACATTGTTTACCTGTATATGTGTATTACAGTGAGTATCCTTGTATGTATGTATGTTTCTGTGAGCATGTGTATGTGTGTGGGGTAGCTGCTTGCTGTGTTTTGTTTTGTGTATATGTGGGGCTAACTGTGGCTTTTGTGCACTTTGTTCATGGCGAAGTTATGTTTTATGACTTTGTATATATAATGATTGTCTTCAGGGGTGACCGTGACAGGGTGAGTAAAGGGCTAACTGTGACAGGGCGAGGGGGAGAATGAGACAGGGTTGGGGGGGGTGAGTGTGACAGAATGATGGAGGGCAAATGTGATATGGTTTAAGGAGGGAGAGTTACAGGGTGAGGAGAGGGAAGTATGACAGGATTAAAATTGTAATACGACAGGGTGAATGTGGTATGGTTGGGGAGGTGAGTGTTACAGGGTTGGGGTGAATGTGGTATTGTTGGAAGAGTGAGTGTGATAGGGTAAGGGAAGGTGAATGTGACATGATTAGGGGGGTTAATTGACATGCTAAGTGTGGCAGAGTGAGGGGGTGAGGGTGACAGGATTAGAGGTGTAAATGCAACAGGGTGGCAGGCTTGGGGGTGAGTGTGGCACAGTTTAAGGAGAGAGTTTGACAGGAAGAGGAGTGGTGAGTGTGACAGTGAGAGAAAAGGTGAGTGTAACAGGATTAGACGGGGTTGATGTGATAGGGTGAGTGTGGCAGAGTGAGGGGAGGTGAGTGCGGTTTGGTTGGAGGGGGTGAGTGTGACAGTGTCAGGAGGGGTTAATGTATGGCAGGGTTAAGGGGGTGACAGTGTGTGGAAGGGTGGTGACAGTGTGTGTGGGAGGGTGGTGACAGTGTGTGTGCTCATGAAGGGAATGACAGAGTATGAAAAAGGGTGAAAGAGTGTATGGAGGGGGTGACAGTGTGCGTGGAGGAGGGTGACAGAGTATGAAGGGTTGACACGTGGCAGAGTGTGGGACGGAGTGACAGAGTGAGGGAGGAAAGGGGTGAAAGGTGGCAGAGTGAGAGCGTGACAGAGTGTAGGAATGGGTGACAAATGGCAGAGTGGGGTAAGGAGGAGTGTTAGCAGGGATGACAGGGGGCACAGTGTTGCAGAGTTAGGGGGGGGTGACATGGGGGCGAAGTGAGGGGGTGACAGGAGGCAGAGTGTGGGAGGAGACGGGGCAGAGTTAGGGAATGACAGGTGGCAGTTTGGGGGGGTGACATGGGGCAGATTTGGGGGGTGACAGGTGGCAGAGTTGGGGGGTGACATGGGGCAGAGTGTGGGAGGGGATGCCATGGGGCAGAGTGAGGTGTTGACAGGGGGCAGAGTTAGGGCGTGACAGAGTGGGGGAAGGAGGTGATAGGGGGCAGAGTGAGGGGGTGACAGGTGGCAGAGTGGGGGAAGGAGGAGGTGACAGGAGGCAGTGGGGGGGAGGAGGTAACAGGTGGTAGAGTGGGGGAAAGAGTAGGTGACAGCTGGCAGAGTGTAAGAGGGGATGACGGGGCAGAGTGTGGGAGAGGATGACGGGGGCAGAGTTAGGTTGTGACAGAGTGGGGGATGGAGAAGGTGACAGTGGGCAGAGTGTGGGAGGGGGTGACAGGGGCAGAGTGAGGGGAGACAGGGGGCAGAGTGATGGGTGACAGGGGGCAGAGTGGGGGAAAGAGGAGGTGACACCTGGCAGAGCGTGGGAGGGATGACAGGGGGCAGAGTTAGGTGGTGACAGTTGGCAGAGTGAGGGGGTGACAGGTGGCAGAGTTTTGGGGGGTGACAGCTGGCAGTGAGTGACAGGGGGCAGAGTGTGGGAGGGGATGACAGGTGGCAGAGTTAGGGGAGGTGACAGGTAGCAGGGTGTGATAGAGTTAGTGAGATGACAGATGGCAGTGTGGGGGAGAGAAATACCTTTTTTTACTCCGTAGTGGTCCAGTGGGCTCCCTATCCCATCTGCAGCTCCGCCTGGTGTGAGCTGCAGACCACGTGATACAGTCTCGGGATCTCCAGAAGTCAGAGCATTGCCGTGGTAAACCGCAGCAACGCTCTGATTGGCTGGGGATCGTGAGACACTTTAGTCTGCAGCTCACACCCAGTGGAGCTGCAGACTAAAGGCTGGCTCTCTGGGTAGACGGGAGGGGCCTCGAGTGCCCTTAGTGCCGCCGGGCCGTCTCCCAATGTCGAGTCCTCAGTCATGGACCGAGGACCCGTCAATTCAGTCTGCCCTAAAGCGATTTAGGAGGCTGCAAGGCCCCAGCCAGCGCGTGGCCTTAGGCGGTTGCCTAAATCGCCTAATTAGAGAGCCTCTGATAAAGAACGCTCACAATTGTAGAGTTTTTTATACATTATGGCTCTGGTTTAAAAGGCTATACAATTGTGAGCATTCTTTATTCCTTCAACAATTTTATTCAAATCTATTTGTAGGTTAGTAGGACTGCCGTTTGTACAGGTTGTTCCACCGGTAGAAGACAGGAGAGTATTTCCCACCCGTATAAGACAACTGGGAGCACCTTTTACCCGAGTATACCTAAGAATAGCCCCCACAATGTGACCAGTGTGTTCCCCCTTTCACTCCCACTATTTCGAGGGAGACAATAGGGGAGGTGATAGAGGGGAAAGGGGGTACATGTCCCCAGTCACTCAAGCCGCCCCCAACTTCCCATTCGTGTGGGCGCTCAGAGCCAATGCCTCCCAGTAAGAGTTATCTCACTCAGCTAGATGATTGTCAGGATATTCTCTTGTGCACAGGTAGTATGTTCACATCCTCCAGGTCTCCTCATGTTTCTCCAGTCTCCCATTCACCACCGCTATTTCTTTATCCGCCTGATTGGTCTCCTCAACCTACTGAAGCCAGCTTGAAAGCCCTCACAGTACAAATATCAGTGATTTAGCTGCCGTAAGCAGGTGGCGAGACAGTCAATATTGGCAGAGCAGATTTGTTAAGTTGAATATCTGCCAGGTCAAAAGCTAGCTCTTCTTCAGTCACCTTTCTACATTGCCTCATAGATTTGCCTCCAACAAAGCATTATGCGTGACAGGACCAAAATATGTTAAAGTCCCAACCACACCTGCAACAGACCACCGGAAGATATTTCTGAATCTTCTGTGGGGTATTATACCTCTCAGTGAGTATTTTATAATTGATTTCTTGATATCTGGCAAATCGAGAGCTGAGGGCCGTGCACGTTTTAGTAAGTTGAGTTAACCCTTACACTGCTAAGACAATCAAGCCTCTGTTTTCCAATTCAAATACACATCACATACACAGTATTTGGAATGGATATATAAACCATAAGGCTATTCTAAAACACGGATAATTTATATATCGTAAAGCACTTTTACGCAATATTCAGGAGACAATGCCACTACTTTACATTGACATTCACATACACAAAAACAAAATGCAAGTAAAGACACAAGAGAAAGCATATTTAAGTACAAAGTCATTTTATTGATGTAAGAAATATTTTTTTTTTGTCTTTCTTTTTTGTTATAAAAAAAAAAAGCTTAGTGGTTCTGAGAACAAAATGTACATTTACTGTGTACATAGTGCTTCAGATCCATCAGGCTGGACAAAGGCTTGAAACTATTAAATCCACAAATGTGTGTACTTGTGTACTGAGCTATGACTTACAAGCCTATAACTTCAGAGTTCTAATTCTACCGCACATGAATGTATTTACATAATAAAAAAAAGAAATACATAATTTCAATACAAAAAAACAAACTTGTAAAAAAAAGTGACAAATAAAAGTTATTATTTCTATTTTACATTTTTGCAGGATGAGTCATACAAAAGCCATTCTGTCATTAAAAGAAGGGAACATATATGGATAATAAAAGGGTACAGACTTTAGACACTAGTGACAGTGGTGTGCTGAAGAACAAGCACTAGGGTAGCATAGCTACGATTTGGCAATTATTCTTGGTCCCCATTTTGAGTTTTAACACAAAGTAAGGCACATACATTTCAAGAATGTGCGAAAACACTGCTGTGTAATGTGCAACACACTAAACTACAGTTTAACGTTGACAAAAATGTAGACTAAAAAGTGAAATAATGCAAAAAAAATGGGAACAGTACCTTTTTATTTTTTTAAGATTATCTCACAACACATTTAAGACTAGTTTTTTGGGAAACATATTCCACAGTGCTATTTGAAATGAAGTACCTTTCATCCTTATAAAAGTGAGTCGTACACGTTGACCTTAAAAATAATAACAATAATACTAATAAAAATGAGTGGATAGTTCCCTTTCTACAAAAAGAATAATGTTTTATTATCAAGGCGCTAAAGGAAACTTCAGCGTTAACATAATTCTAGCCTTTATGACACATTTAGGCATTGGGAGTGATCTTAATGTTATAGTGTACCTTATAAGATCGCTTTGTCCATAAAGACGCCCATTTCTAAAGGCTACCCATCCTCAATTATTGCCAGTTTAAAAGACAAATGAAAATAAACGTTTATGGGAAAAAATTACAAACAAATTGAGGTCTTATACATTTTGTACATAGAACACATCTTCCATACCATAAGTACAATAACAGCATGCAATCCTTGAGTATATATGTATGAGATACTTATTAAAATCAGTGGAGGAATTTGGTGAATACCTGTGAACCAACGCGGTCCAAACATATTGCTAAATTCGGAAAATCTGGAAAATAAACAGCTGGGCAGTGAAAACAGTCAGGGGTCTATTAATTGTATGATTGATTAAACAGAACCACTAAACATAACTGAAGAAATGTTTTCTCCTTTTTGCTTCAAACATGCACATACATTGTACGTTTACACCAAAATCAAAACGTACAGGCCCATTTGGATTCAAAACAAAAGACATGTATATGGGCGTGACAATACTGATCCATAACTGAAATGGAAGACTATTTCTCCCTACAACACTTTAGGGTTTCAGTCAATATTCCATAAATGGAATGTACTTTGAATGCATCCCATTTAGTTGGGATGAAATTGCTAAAATACATACATATAAAATGAGTTACCATCAGATTTCCCTCGTATCTACTGCATTACAGCAAGAAACTTGCTTTCTTCTGCAAGGGAGGTCAATAAAGAACTCATGTCCCCTATAGCCATGTTACTAGTGCTGATGGGCAAGGTTGGGAATGTCAGAGATGCTCGAGGGGTGGTAAGTCGCGAAGAGTTACGGGACAGATTCTGGATGATTTGTGGACTCAGAGTTCCAGAAATCAAACTGGCATGATCCCCATCATCTATAATTGCATCAAAATCAATCTGAACTCCATCCAAACTGTTGATGTCACTGTTATCTACAGTGCTTGTCACTTGATTAGCTCCCGGTGATAGAAGCTCATTTGAATTAGCATTATTAGTTTCTTGTAAAAGACAATTAGTTTCTGTAACAGACATAGATCCCGGTTTTATGTTTTGTTGATTATAGCTCATTGTTTGGTCATAAAACTGACCTGCGTAGTTTGGTGTGTTGGCACAGTGCTGTTGGGGTTGACTTGGCATTTCTACCTTAATACTGTTCAATTTGTAAACTGTCTGGCTGGCATCACTTGGTTGTTCCTGCAGGTATGGCATGTTATTTCTTTGCATGCTTTGTCTACCATTTCCTCCAGGGTTTGAACATGATGGGTAATTCCTTGCCACGGCTGACTGTTGATTACTTGTGTGCAGTTGAGCTAATTGAAACATTTGTGTTGTCTCATTATTCAAGCCACTTTGACCTGAAAATCCCTGATTGGATCGATTTACTCCCAGGAAA